TGTATTTGATTTTATGCCAGTCGTATCATTTTACTTGATCGTATTCCCCCCCTTCCCAGCCGGTCTGTGAAAATATTGTCTCACATATAGCGGTCCGTGGTGCAAAAAAGGTTGGGCACCGCTGTGTTAAACAATCAAATACAGTCTGTCACTGGCTAAATACCCTGGAGTCTCATTTCTAACGAATGCCGTTGAATCCAAATCAAAAGTTTATGTACGATAAACACTCAAAAATGGATTATGCCCCAAATTCCTAATATTAATCCATACGCAAAACCAAGAAATCTTCCTTTATAGATCACAGCTGTGCCTTAAAGTTTGTGCCCAAGGCGCCACCTTATATTAAAACTAGTTTATGCTCATGTTCAACCTTATATAGTAGTAGACATTTAAAAGCTCCCCACTTTCCTTGATGGGCCTTTGATTGGTCCCCTACAGGTCCTTTTTTAAACATCAATCTTTGTACTGAAATATTTTTTCTGTCATGATTTTATATGTGACATTAAGACCTAAAGAGAAGCGTCATCTCCTGGTCAGACCCTGTAATTCAGTGAAAGGTTGGAGTCAGAGTAAAAACATATGCATGCCCAGGAGAAGGAGGGAGTCGCTCCAGTGGCTGGAAGATGGCTGCCATTCGGCTGGCATTTGACTGGGTAGGACCATTTTCAATGGTTGCTACAGTATGGTCCATGCAAAGTGTTTTTCATCATTGTGTATTTAGATGAGCCAGCTGGTCAATATTGTTATTAAAAAAAAAAATAGAGGAGTTGGTGAGGGAGTCTGATAAATGAAAAGAAATAAAAGGAAGTATTATTTATAATGAAACACTCGGAATATAATGTTGACTGATCAGATTAACAAGGACACCCAGGCAGCATGGAGCTTATTCACAGAAATATCTTGTTCTTCAGGCAGAGAGTCAAATTATTATTGATTATTTTTAACAGCGAATTGTGCTTTTAAGAGCCGACAGGAATCAGAGTTGATTAACCTGATAATTATATAATTGATTAACTTTTTAGGTCTGTTTATAGAAAAAGATAATGCTAAAGCAGTTTTCCACAGCAGTTTGGATAAATGCCTTTAAGCCATTTAACAGTAAACGGCTTTATAATAACTGAAATAGTCCCTTTCATATTAGTGCACCTTTTAGCCTCTTTATAAGGCTTGGTGTCAACTTTCCTCTTAAATTAAGGAGAACTAACGATGTCCATCCCCCTGCTGCTATAGTGCCATTGTGATTACATTGGAAAAGCGGATGGGACCGTCAGATATTGCGATGAATTGGTTTTGATCTTACTGGTCAGATATCAAGCACTTGGTGTAATTTGTTCATTTTAAATCCAATCAAATAAAATTAAAACATGGAGTTCATCAAGGCTCTGTTTTTGTGTCACATTTGGTTTGATATGTGTTCTCCTTCCAGCTCAGACTACAGAGTACCACAAAATTACAACAACGTTAATGACGGTCTGCTCTATAATATTGTCACCATTTTGCTACAGTTCAGGACTGTCATTTTAGTAGCTTGTAAAATAATACCAAAGATGTTTTGTCAAATTTTATGCAGAAAAGATTAAAGTGTTTGTTTTGGTCCAAGAAGTTTTCCTAAAGCCAGGCATACACTGTACCATTTTTTTTGCCCTTTTCGGGCATGTTCTCAAATCTTCCGAGAATTTTTTGATCGGGCCGACTTTCAACAAGGTTGTCTGTCGTCTAGTGTATAAGGGATAACAAGGGGCGATCAGCCTCTCATGACCACCTCTGATCAGGAATCTTAAGTCGGGAGAAAACAAAATATGTTTGAAATTCAGTCCGCCGCGGTAAGGTGATCGTGGGCAAATCGCTCAGTGGGCAAACAAGGATTCTTCTTCTTCCTCTCAGACAAAAACACGGAAGCATGGCGGGGGTCCCAGTGAAATGGAGTTCTTTCTGTAAAATTGACAGACCGTAGTAGCCACGTTTGCTCAGCCATGTTTTTGTCCAAATACGTCGTCGCCTTTTCTTTTCAGGGCTTTCAGCACAAAATTGCACAAATTGCCAAGGCAGCGGGATTCACTCTAGTGAGCTTCATATTCCTCTTCTACTCGATAGAAGTCTGAGTAGCGCCATCTCACTGCGGAACTGAGTCCGACGTGGTTTTTAGAGGTACAGTGTGAGCAGGTAGATCGCATCAGAGCAACGGGCCGCACAGTGTGCTAACATGCATATTGAGCTGTGAATTTTTAAAACCTGCGGTTTCGTCATACAGCATGAGCTGTAGCTGCATGCAACAATGGAAAGGTATCGCAGTGTATGTCCATCTTAAGGTAGAGAGATCATTACTCATTTATAGCCAATTAGGCTAAACACCACAGAGCCGGCTGATGTTTAACATTAACACACCTCAGAGAACCATGTCAGGTCCTGATAGATCTTTTCACTCCTTCCAGGACAAGTACTAAACATTCGGAAGCAGCATCTCTTTAACCAACTTCTGCTAAAATAATATTGGCTGTTCCTCCTCTTTTGAACCAGACTGAATACCTGCAGTTTTTCCATACCTGCAGGTTGGCACTCAAAAGTACATTTACAAACTTTGACTCTTGTCTGAAACATTACATTTAAATGAAATTGGTAACTCTTAGGAATCTGTTTGTTGAAATAATGACAGGGATAGAACATATACACCATCCTTTTTAAAGTGACACCATTTGTAGAGCTCAGAAGTGGTTATTTGTTTTCTTATAGGATCAGTTATGAATCAGAAAATGTCATTAGCCTGGAAGCCAAAGAAGAGAAATGTTGAAGAGTTGTTTTCTTGGCAGCCATTTGTCATTAAAGTTACAGTTAGTGCTTTTAGTTTCAAATTAGACTCATTAAAGTCCCTGCCCCCTGACTGAGTCTAAAGGAGAACGCTGCACTGGTACTGAGGTTGAACTTCATGTTGTCATCTGAATGAACTCCTCAGGCCCGCCATGAGGTTGAAACATGTTTAGCAGTAAAAAGGGAGGGGGCGGCTCATTTTTCAGATGCATGAATCAGTTGATGGATGAGCCTCGGAGCTTGATTTGCCTTCTGAAACGTCCCCAGTCGCAGCCCCACAATGCACCGGTCAAGAACATGCTCTGCTCTTTTCTATTCTGGGCCACAGCACTCGCCGACATGACCGCGACTCTGCAGAGAGTTCATTTGTCACGCCGAGGCAGAGTGCTGACACTTCTGAATAAAGGCTCGATCTGTTTGGGTTTTTTTTTTTGCCGGTTAGCAGGAAAGGTTTGCTGCTGCTACTGTTTCTCTCTCCTTTTGTGTTAAGAAACAAAATTTAAAAAAGAGTTGCGGTTTATATTTAATTAGCTGTAAAATTTATATTATATTTGTCAAATCCTGTAATGTTAACTTATGAAGAGAGTGCAGGAGCAATGAAACACTCAGTGTCAGTAAAAGTAGGGATGGAAAAGCACATTTCTATAGAGGCGACAAGAGAATGGATGGCACATTATTCCAGACTCCTGAGTTAGGATTTATGTTGAACGGCAAAGATGAACCATGGCTGTGGAATCTGCTTGCTTTGCTCAGATCGGAGAACCTTTTATTTTGTTTTCTCCAACCTTTAAGGGCTTGACAGAACTATTTATGAAGTCTAATATTTGAGCAGCTGTGGGTGTTTGTGTGGCTGATTGCTGCACTATGCTCAAGTAAAATGGTGCCATCTGTTGGAGGAAAGCACAATGCAGGACTCCTGTGTTTTACCATTTCATAATGAACTCAGATTTCCTCATTTATATGTTGTTTTTTTAAACTAACACTAATGATGTTTTGTCTTCTCTATTTTCTTCCCTAAAAAAAAAACCATCTGTGCACAGAGAAAACAAAATCAAATTTTCTGTTACTAAGGAATAAAATCTTAAGTCCTCATCACAGTGCTTGGGTTGTGCATGTTTTTTTTAAGTGGAGAGGGCGGGTCTTTTCAAAAATTCGTCAAAAATAGTCTTTATTTTGTTTCTTAAGATATATTTGATGCAAATTCTTTCATAAACTTCCATTACCTGGATTTAAACTCAAATGTTATGCTTGCAATAGCATGTTTACAATTGTATTTTGTGCTGTTTTATTGATAACTTCACCTATGATATAGACTAATAAAAAAAGATGAGACTGCTCTTGTTTTTTGCTCCTTGTATTCTCAGATATAATCTTAGAACAAGAAATGTAAGAAAAAAATGTTGGTTTGACACATATATTCCATTGCTGAATTTTATTGTAGTTTCAGTTGATTGGAACCAAAAATAAACTCTAGATAAACATTTTATCTACTTTAACCACCCAGAAACTTTCTTTGAATGTTATAATTTTTAACTAACAGTTTTTTCACACCACCATCCCCTTGTCATGTGGTACTTTAAGCAGTTTTACACCAGATGTAATGACACCCGGGCTTCTAAGCAGTATTATGTCGTCTGTTCACAAAATAATTTCAAGTCTTGGAGATCAAGATCTCTTTGCTGACAATGAGACAGGCCTTTTAATCCTTCTGGGTCAGCACTGGTTCTGGCATTAGAACTCTCTCTTGGAGGCCATTTTTGCCTAGTCTCTCTTTCTTATTGCTGAATAACAAACTCTGACCCTAACTGTGGCACTGAAGCCCACACAGCTTTAGACGGTGTTCTAGGTTATTCTGTGACTTTCCTTTATGAGCTTTGGTGTAATTTTATTAGTCCTGGGAGCTGGTAAGAAGGTTCACCTTTGGTCTGTGTTTTCTCCATTTATGGATCAATTTCTCACTGTACTTCTCTAGAGTCCAAGAGGCTCAGAAATGACTTTGCAACCCAACATCTTTGTCTGATATTGAAACTAGTTTAAAAGATCTGGAAAGTGTGTCTGACAAAACAGTAAAAAGCAGGAGAAACCTGTATGGGAAAAGTTATATAGACACAGTCATCTTTATCACCTTTTATTCCAGAACTTGAAGTATTGCACCCGTGTTACATAAGCAATGTTTTCTCTTTTTTCTCCTGCAGTTCCTTGGAAACACAGAGGTTGAAGCCCCTAAAGGCACAGAGGTTGTGAAGGATGCAGTGAGGAAACTGAAGGTAAAATCAGTCTTCAGTCGGATCTGTAGCCTCCAGGAGAGCTCAGGTTGTCGTCAGTAAGCAGATTGGAGGGGACAGAGGGGCTGATGGGAGGGAGTGACAAACCCCCCCTCCAGTTCATCATCAGCAAGGTGCCCTTGGAGTTTTCCCAGCTCCAAGTGTTGATGGCTGGAAGTGCAAGATAAGCAGTTTGTCCACTCAGCCTCCCCCCCAGTACATGGAAAACTCTGCTAGATGGATTCATCATCAGACGGATAATCACTTCCTTCACTGAGATGCTTAAATATCTCTGTGTAAAACATTTATGTAAATAAACTCCCATTTATATCAATATTAATCATCAACAGTGAAGAAACTTTCTGTGCTTCAGATAAGGCGAATCCAAACAAATTATACCGGGGGCTGATTTTCTAGATCTGGTTTAGGTTGAAGGACAAATTTGGTGATTATATAATTGTATTTGGGGTCATATAAACTTTTCTCAACACATCATTAATGAAGAGTTTGTCAATTCCAGGTTCAGAGGGAGTAATAATGTTTCAGTGCCTGTATATTTTTCATATGTATTACACACAAAAATTTCTATAAATAGATCCTTCAGTTAGAAAACATTTTTAATCAAGAATAAAATATGAAAACACTTTTTTATAAGATGGATGGATGGATGGATGGATGGACATACTTTTAAATGAATGTCTGCTTGGTAATCAAGACAAACTTCTATTTAGTAACCAAAATATGTGTTTTTCCAGACGTGTAAGTCATAAAATATTAGATAACTGCTTTTATTAACTCACATTTAGCACTACTGGAAACCTTTCCCTCAGTCAGCCATACTGTGGGTTTGTTTAGACCTAATCTGATTGTTGGATTATTTATTTACTTACCATTTTATTGGAAAAGTATTAAACTTATCAGAGTGTCTTATCAATTGAGGTATGTCCTGGTGTTGGTGAGGTTAAACATAAAATTCCCAGCCTGTGTGGATCATGATGGAGTTTTACTGGCAAACCAGATGCTAAGAAAGTCATGAAAAACCAGTTAAACCAGCATACATGTTTTCCAGGATTTAAGCACATGGTCCTACTGAACTCACCCAGTGAATGACATTTACCTTGGCCTTTTCCCAGGATAAATATCAATCCAGACTCCTACCATTTAAACAGACCTTTAGGCCTGGGAAGATCTCCCTCCCAGCCTTTTACCCACGCCTCTGTGCCGACTGCCTGCTGGCCTCAAACCAGACTCCTGCTGCCAAGAGCTGAATCTGAGAGGCCCCTTGTGGGGGTGGCATGTTTTCCCAAAGCTAGCACTCCATTGTTGCTACACATCTCATGTTGGAGATCACTCTCTGCCCGAAGCTCCCTGGTTACCCTTCCAGAAGCAGCAGCCATCAAGACAAGCTCAAATATGCCTCCTTTAATCACCTCCAGAAGAATAGAATTGGTCTGAGGCAGAGTTACCCGCAAAATCTCCTCTAACAGTTAAATGCCTGCATGCTTTTAATGAAAACACAGATGAATAAATAGACTTTCTGTGGGTTAAACTTGTCTATGACACAGAGATGAATTGATTCAGCCTAAAAACTCTGAATTTATAAATCAGTTTGCAGCCAGACTGCAGATTGTGAAAAGAATCTCCTTTAAAGTCAGGTTGGGATTTGACACATTTGAGCTTCTGAAGCCAAATTAATGAGCAGTTTAGAAAAACTTACCAGGTCTGATGATTTATGTAAATCTAACATCCAGAGAACAACTATAGAGCAAATTTTAAACATGTATTATAAAGGAAAATTAGAAGAAAAAAAATATCCAGAAATGAAAAATAAATAAAAAGATTTATGAGTAATTCTGCTATTTTCTCATATTTTATTTATCTTTTTATATTTTATTTATAAGTTTATATATTTTTTATGTTATGTTTTTTTTTTATTTTCCTCTTCATCTTATGTTTTACAAATTCCATTAATTTGAAATTGCAATTTCCTGATAATTTTCTTTACCTATTCGCCAGACTTTGGAGTGACGGGTGAAGATGCATTTCTATTGGTCTGCAGGAAATTAAGAAACATTTTTATTGATCAAGATCAAGGGTTTGAATTAGGCTTAAAGCTAAAAGCATGTAAATCCATGGAAAAGCTGAAAATAATGCAATTCAGAAAACTCGTTCTGAAAAGATAATTTAAATTTTCCTACAAAAAATAAATGAATGAATAAATAAAGTTTTAAAAGAATAGGATTTGTAAAAAAACAAAAAAAAAAGAAATGTAAAAAAGAATTAAAATAAGTGTTTATGAAAAAATGAAATCTAAGAAAGTTCCTCTCAAAATCTATGTTCAAAGTTCAAAGTTTAATTTCTGGATTTAATTTCTTTTTTTTTTCATCTACAAAAAATAAATGAATGAATAAATAAAGTTTTAAAAGAATAGGATTTAAAAAAAAAAAAAAAAAAAAGAAATGTAAAAAAGAATTAAAATAAGTGTTTATGAAAAAATGAAATCTAAGAAAGTTCCTCTCAAAATCTATGTTCAAAGTTCCAAGTTTAATTTCTGGATTTAATTTCTTTTTTTTTTACCAGATGTGGTCAAACACGGAACAAATTTTACTCCATACACAACCAACGTCAAAGGATTCAATAAAAGTATAAAGCTATGTGTTAAAAAAAAATAATTAAATCTGCCCTTACAGCTTTAAGAGGATTTTAGAGTGACGGTATGAAGGGCTGCTGATGGAATGGAAACATAATGATCGGTGCAAGCGCCTCTTTTAAAGATGCCCTGGAGCATTCAGGTGTTTGTCCACACAATGCCACAATGGAAAGACATCAGTAAAGACCTCAGAAGCAGCTGTTGCTGCCTATTGATCTGGGAGGGTTATAAGGAATCAGTCTACAGAGAGGAAGATTGTTCCAGGGTGAGAAAATGTCTCAGACAGCTGACAGTCTTACCAGAGGTGAACATCCTGATAAGTTCATCCCATGATGCTCAGGGAAATGATTCCTCCCAGTTCCCAAAGGCCTCATTTAGTAGGTTAAATGTTAGATGATCAAACCTGAACATTTCAGAAACCGAGTCTTGCAGCTTTTAAAAATATGAATTACGAACAGTAGAGTTTTACTCCAGTAAGCTTTTTCATGTTCTTTTCATTTCTCTGACAGTTTCAGAGGCACATCAAGAAGTCAGAGGGCCAGAAGATCCCAAAAGTGGAGCTTCAGATCTCCATCTATGGAGTCAAAATCCTTGATCCTAAAACAAAAGTGAGTCCAGCTTATATTTTTGTTTGTTTATTTGTTTGTTTCCCTCTCACCAGCATGCAGGGAAAGACATAAACCCTCTAAATATAGGCTGCAAATAACCCACACTTTGTTTGTGTTGCAGGATGTGCAGCATAACTGTCAGTTACACAGGATATCCTTCTGTGCAGACGACAAGACGGATAAAAGGATATTCACTTTTATCTGCAAAGACTCCGAGTCCAACAAGCACCTCTGCTACGTGTTCGACAGTGAAAAATGTGTACGTGTATGTTCCTTTATACGAACGCTCAACGTACCCGAGAGACAGTTCAGGTCCGTTCGCGAATCATCTGTTTGAACCCTGTTGCTTACAGGCGGAGGAGATCACTCTAACCATCGGGCAGGCCTTCGACTTGGCCTACAAGAAGTTTCTGGAGTCTGGAGGGAAAGACGTGGAGACGAGGAAGCAGATCGGGGGGCTGCAGAAAAGAGTACGGCTCAAGTGGCAATAAAAGCTGCCCCTCCGTGTCCAAACATTGACGTTTTTATCAATTAATGCGGAGTTTGTGTCTTATTGATTTTTTTAAAATCCCCCCCACGTACGCGATTAATCAAGAGTAATGAATATTAATGAGAGACTGCAGTTTGTGATTAGATTTCTGCTGGGAACACAGACCTGGACCTCTGGTTTGTTTAAACTGAGTTATTAGGACAGTGAAGTGGATTTCTCTAAATGAGTGTTTAAAATATGGATTAACTTACCTCAAGTAATGGAAATGGTAACCCCCATCCCATTGGCGCATATCTGCTTTATAAGGGGCCTATATCCTGCAAAATCAATCATTTGAACTATTTTATAATTATATTCCTTTATCACAGTCTGCCACAGAGTGGCATTTTGCTGGAATCACTGATCTCTCGACTGAACCTGAACCTCATGGGTTCAGTCAGAGCAGTAGCCACTTCCTGTCCTGTGAAAACAAGCAGATGGGAAATATCTATGCATAAAGTGTTCTTCCAGGAAGCAGCAAGCTTGACCGCGCTCCGCCTGCACTGTAAACAAACACCCACGCTCTCTGATCAGGGAGGGGGCGATGGGAGGCAGAGGCCGATGATTCCAGCTCAAAGTTACGAAGAAGTGGCTCCTATAGGTGCTTTAAAAGAAAAGTCCGGTCATTAAGAAATTATCAATGGGTCATTATTTATACTAAAACTAATATGTTTGCTGTAATTTAATGAATTTAGCTTTAATTAGTAAAAAAATAAAATAAAAAAATATTGTCAACGCGATCACCTAGTCAGGGAGCGTCCATTTTTGCTCAAATATAGTAACTCCTCACTCCTGCACTGCAAAAATGATCCAAAAATGTGTAACAATTTCTTAAATTAAGTGTATTTACCCTTAATGTGAGTATGTAAATAAGATTTGCCAATGGAATTAGTATTTCTACTCTTAAAATAAGATAAATAGAAAATATGCACTTGAAATAAGACAATGTAATTGTTTTTTCTTATTTTAAATGTAAATTGTCTTGTCGCATTGGCAAAGTGTCTCACTTAAATCCTTAAGTCAAGAAAAAATGCACTTATTTTAAGAAAAAAAAAAAGACTTATTGAGATTAAAATTTTTTGCAGTGTGCCATCTTCCAGCAGTGACGTCACGGTGCGGTAAGCCTAGCGCCATTCTCCCCGCTTTACAAGCAAAATCAATGGGAACTACTTGACACAAATGCAATCACCAGTTATTTAGGATTTCCAGAGGACTTCACCATTGAAATTCACCAGAGCTTTAGTGAAACTGACAATGCCCACATGCATGGCAGTTGGATGTTGGAATAAATCGGGTAAAAGTGAAAAGAAATTAGTTATTTCACCTTTCTGATTCACGATCCTCCACGGACTGGTTCGTCGTTGGATTGCCAACTTGAAGAGGGAGGATTTGCCATCGAACTTATAGCCAGATAAAAAACACATCATTAATCCGTTACTATCTGCTTTGCATAGTGCACTGGTTGTCGCCATCATGGATAATAGAGTGTTGTGATAAACACCATATTGAGCACTGGGAATTGCTCAACAGCCAATACCGCATTGTGACGTCACAAACTGGAAGGTGGCAGTAGTGCTCAAACATGGACAAACATGGATGTCTCTGTTAAAGCACATTCAAATGAAAATTACTTTTAATTAAAAACACATATCATTTATTGAAAAGTATTCAATAATTTCATACTTAAAGTACTTTCAGAAGTTTATATTCTGAATATGACCTGACTTTTCCTTTAAAGCCCAGCCTCTTTCTGGTTGGAAGAAAACCACCACATTTAATAAGAAATAAGAGCTTAAAGGATAATTCCATCATATATTTACCTAAGGGTGACTTTGAAATGCCTTTAAAAAACATGTTATAGGAGCTTTAACAATTCTGCAAAGCGTCATGGCATCACTGTTACTTGGTGAACCTTTAGTTTGTGTTTGCTTTTACTTAACGAAAAAGGTGAAAATTAGGTAATGAAACATTTAGTTAAATTCTCCATTCGATAAAGAGCTCAGTGTGACTAAAAACAAGCCCAAAGGTACCTATAGATGTTCTCTACAGAGCCTTAAGGAGGTGGGACAAATCAAGGTGATGCACGTAATGGAGCGTGTGAACCAGGAGCTCCTTGTGGTTTATTATCGCTCAGGCCTCAGTGTGGAATTGCTGGAAGAGACAATAGATTTGCACCTTTGCACTCTACATCCATTGGTTATTAGAGAAATGAAGTACATTGACCACATTGCCCTCATGTTCCCTTAACTACAAACTTAGGAGACCTCTTCATAAACACAAAGAGGTTAAACCCAGCAGGCTCTGGGCTCCCTGTGGATTGGACCTCAAAGCTGGGTGGATTTCAGAGAAAACTACCAAACCTTCTTGTAAAAGAGAGAATCATTGTGTAAATGTAGCCCTAAAAAGTCTATGTTTGATGGATGAATTCTGCTTTTTAAGAATTATTTCCAGTACTGTAAGTGGTTTGAAATAAAAGTCTAATGAACATTTAATAAACACGGTATCTCTAAAACAAACAAAAAGTAGGAAAAAAATGGTCAGCAGTTCATGTTGGTAATTTTTTCTTTATTTTCATTTTATAGATTCAGGAACTGGAAACAGAAAATGCTGAGCTGAAGAAACAACTTCAAGAGCTGGAGGAGCAGCTGATGATAGCTCATGTCCCACCAGTAAGAGCTACATGTACTGACCCAAACCAGTTCAGCACCGATGCAAACGGCTGCTGGTTAATGTTGAAGTATGGAGCAGATGCCGCTCAAACACTTTATACTTTTAAAGTCCTGAATATCACTGGCTAAGTTTAGATCTTTAGTACAGGAGTAAAGATGTTTCCAGAGGACTTAAAAAAAAGACTCATTGAGAAATCCTGCCTCATTTCTATTGCCATCCATTCAATGGAGAAACATTCTTGTGTAAAAACAATCTGTGTCACGCTCTAAGGCACAGTGTGGTACAGTCGTCAGCGCCCCCTGCTGTTACTGTAAGAGTTTACAGTAGAAATTTCAAAAAAGTTCAAAAACAATCCACTGGACTTTATTTCCAAGTTTGAAGACATTTCATACATCCAGAACACCTTTCCTTTTAACAAAAAAAAACTATATATATAAACAACGTCTTGTTTTGGCTTAGAAAACATGCAAATTGAACGGGACAAATGGGTCTGCCCCTTTAAGAATGGGTGTCGTTTGGTTTCTTTGTTAGCCTATAATACCCGATACGTGTTTGTCTCTGAAAGGAGGGGTGGTTAGAGCAAATTGTTGGCCTCACTGAACATGCAAGGTGTTCTTTTCCCCTGTAAGGGGGTGGGGGTTGTGATAGCGGGGCAGAATCAACTTGATAGCTGAATTGTAGGTTTTTGACACCTGAAATCTGAGTCCACCTCCTCTGTTTAAGGTTGGTTCCTTTTAACGACCCCCATTTCAGAGACATAGACAGGTATCTGGTATTACAGGCTAGCAAAGAAACTCAACGGTATTTCTGCCATTTTGAATTGAAAAAGATTCTTGGATGGGAAGTAAAACATCTTCAAACTTGGAAACAAAGTCCAGTGGATTGTTTTTTAACTTTTTTGGAATGATGACCTGGATGACTGAGAATCTTCACCAGCATATTTACATTAGAAACTTTGACTAGCTTCCTTTTTTTCCCTCTGGATCATCTGCATAGAGATCTTTGACAATTTTAATCAAAATATCTCACATCTGCATTACTTAAAAGACATTTTGTCTATTTTTTTTCCTATAATGAGAATTTGCGGAAACTTGCTTTTACATTATGTCTTATTTAAGCTCTAAACTGTCTCTATGGACCTGTAGGGAACTGGCTGAGTGCTTCAAACATGATGGGGCTAAAACCGCATGTGTCTGGTGTTCATTTTTTTGATGCTGTGAGAGTTTTATCAATGAGCTAAAATTATTTAACTTTTCTTAAATAGTTTCATCCATCATATTTGCAGCAACCTGATTTTTTTTAAAACAAACATCCAGATATTGATCTAAAGTCGAATTGGAAATGCTAACCAAACTTCCCATAGTAGAGACACAGCTGGTTAGGCTGATATCACCTTAGTTATTCTAAGCATGGCCTCAGAGCCAGCCGTCCGGTCTGCGGACAGCCAGCGGGTTTCTGAGGCTGTGGCAGCAAACCAATTACACACCTGATTGGTCCGATGAGGAACACGATATACTCTAAATATAATTGGGGCAGCCGTAGCATCATGCTGTGAATGTAATGAGCTGCAACTCTCTGACTTCCACTCCCTTTCTCTGTGGTGGCTCTCTGTCTATCATCTCTCGTCAGCCGCTGCACGTGGACGCAGCAAACGAAGCGTACATGCTGCAGAGGCCCTCCTCTCTCTTCTGGTTTCACAGCTTCACATCGCTGTCCTGTCTGGAGATCTCCTCCGTCACGCTCACTCCTATGAGCTCTCCGGATTCCAACGTTTCCACTGGGCTACTAACTCCTCCGCCTGCTAAACCCACTGTCCCTCCTCCTAAAGCGACCGAGGGATTCAGCATCCCACGGCCTCGTGTAAACACCCTCTGCTTTTTTCTTCTTCTACCGTTTCTGGTTTTCCTACTGCTTCGTCCCACCTCTGTACTAAAATAACGATGAGCGTTCAGATGGTTTGGCTAACAGTTTGTGTTTTTTTTTTTGTCCAGGCTGAGAGCATCTCCATGAAACTACAGTCCACAGATGTTTTTGACATGGTTCCTTTTTCTCCCGTTACACCGCTGGTACCGACCAAGGCCAGCAATGGCTGCCCTCCTCCTCCTCCAACCACCCTGCCCCCAGACATGAGTGAGCAAACAGCTTTGTTCATATTTTTGCCCGCCATAAGTGAGGGTTTGCACCTCTAAGAAGCGGTCTGTCCATGTTTGGTGTCTGCAGGCAAAGATTTGTTCGGAGCTGAGCCGTTTGATCCGTTCACCTGTGGGGCGGCCGACTTCCCTCCAGATATCCAGTCAAAGTTGGATGAGATGCAGGTAAGCTTCTGCTGACAGACTGCTTTGTTTGCACAAACAGTTGAAACAGCACATTCACATGCTGGGGATAAAAAGAAACAGACTTTCTTTTTTACTTTTCTAGGTACAATAACCAAAAATATTTCTATTTGCTAAATGTCAGAACAATAGAAATATATTTTCCAGCTTTCTCTACATTCAAAATTACATAATATTTACTGGAAATCCCTCTAAAAACTGTCCGACATGAGTCAGATAGTTTGCTAGGATTTTGGCCCATTCCTCCAGGTAGTACTTCTAGAGCTGGGTCAGGTTTGTTGGCTACAATGCTCACACAAACACACTCATACGGCACATCCTTCTGTTGTTATTGTTGCCAGCAGGGGGCAACATTGCTCTTGAATTTGTTTCCATTCTTTCTTCCTTTCCTTGGTTACTAACAGCGGAATTTGTCTCCTGTCCTTTTCCCTCTCAGCGTCAGAGATGGTTTGTACCCTTTGCTTTGCTGTCTGTGTAGTGACAGCTTCCTGTCTAGCATGCTGTGACTGCCGCTGCTGCATGTTCTCACTGATGCTTCCAGGTTCTTATTGTAGCTGTTTGGTTAATGTGAGCGAATAAAAACTTATTTTACTTTCTTTGGCTAATCAATAGATTACATTGAACACTGATATGTTGAGTTTTTAACTGTTCATATGGGCGACCACCCCCTGAATTAATGTTCTTTTTCCAGATTTTTTTTTTTTATATGTATTCATAGTGATGATAAATTCTGTTACATGGTTAAATAAACAATTAAATCAAAAATAATTACACTTTAATGCTTGTATGTCTTTGATATTATGGAGGCCGGTGTATAAACATGCAATATCTCATTTATTGCAGATTATGTGATTTGGTTTAAAGGAATATATGTCTTGCATGCAAAAGAAAATTTAGCATGTTTTACTGTTTAGTTGGTAATGATTGCACTTACAGTAGATTTTTGTTCTAAGCATAGAGGTTTTACAATAAGTAAGGTAAAAAAGGCCAGACAAGGCGTCTTTTACCAGAAATCAAAGGACAAGATGGATGTGAACCAGGACGGTTGTTTCCATGAAGTCCATTCATTGATAATCAACACTTAAAAAGACGATGTCCCGTTAAACCTTGGTCACTTAGAAAATAAATAAATACCAAATAAATAAATTTTTTTTGCTGTTAAAATCTTGGCAGTCTGCAGCTGTTGTCGTGTTTAGTCTTTTCGTTTACCGTTACAATCTAGCATTTAAGCCAACGCAGTAATTAAGAACAATTAGGCACGGATTTTAACACCCACCCTGCAGCCAATCAGTATCATGTATTCACATAGACCAGAGGTAACCAATTAAAAATCAGCGGGGTCCGAATAAAGAAAATCATCAACCAGTAGATTTACAGAGACATTTTTAATTATAATCCGTTACTTTAAACAGAATTTAACACTGAAATAAAATGAGGTTTTCTGTGCATCCATGTTATACATTGAATTTCTAAATAAAAAAAATTTAAAAAATTTGAAAATTTTTCTATTTTAAAATCTAAATTGTTTTAGAGAACAACAATTGTTTAGTTTTGTTTATTGACAATTTCCTGATTCACATATTTTATAAAAAACTTGAACTGGCCGTTATTTTTATTTTTTATGGCTTAATGAGAGCAGTGGGCATTAGGCTGTCCTGCAAGGCTTTAAACCTGGGTGTGAATGGAGACAAAGCCATTCTCAAGCACATATCAAGCTCATTTTGAGCCTGGATCCATATTTATTTTTGATTCTGTTCATGGTGGAGAATCCTGCTTCACAGCAGCAGGTTGAGCCAAACATCCTCTAAATGTGGAGGGTCATCTTTGAGCACCATTTCACTTTTTTTCACCAGTTCACCACGCTTCTTCCAGCAGTCCACACTTTCTCTTCTTTTTTTTTCTCATCACCCAGCTTGCCACAGGTTTGCCTGCTGTTTTTAAAAATGTCTCGCTGCATTGGCTGATACAGCTCATTGGCTAATATGTATCACATGCAGCCTGGTCTCGGAAGCTCCAGAAGGCTTTACCACATTAACACATTACTGGTTCTTTTGTACTTCCTATAGTAATTTTAAGAAATTACATTTTTGGAAATTTTGATATTTGTAACTGTTTTTACTGTATGTTTTTAATGTGGACCCCAGGAAGACTAGCTGTTTGCCATTACAACAGCTAATGGGGATCCTTAATAAAATTACAAAATTACAAATTACAGGAGAAGCGGCGCAAGTAAAGTTAGACACTGTCGTTGGACAACACGCGGTAATTTATAAATGTTTTAAATCGGGTTGGGCCCGGATATCTGCTCAAATCTACTTTATATTGTCCGTGGTCGGCTAATCTATGACCTCTGACCTGGACCATGTTATAAATTATCAACAACCCTGTTACTGCCACAGTGAACGAAAAAAAAAATAACACCCAGCTTTAATTTGTATCTATCATAAGCTATTAATAAAATTGAT